AATCAGGGAGATGATCGAGAAGTGAGCGAGTGGCGGTATGTGTTCACTCACTTCCCGATCTATTGAGATGACGTGTGACAGTGTCACTCGTCGGCTCAAACTATGAGGATGAGTGATTTTCGCTCACCTTAGTTCTCCTTTAACTATAAAAACACATTTGTGTCTGAAGCCTCTGAAAGAAAAGGAACTATGAAGGGTTAATTTTATCAAGGAGAAGTTCAGTTTCAAAAAGCATAGCCTACAGTCTCCCAGAGTCATGTGTATATATCCTTTGCTGGCCACCATTACAGGGTGCCATTTGGAGACCAATATTAGATGCCTATTCCGCATAGTACAGAACAGGTCTCCTAAAAAGAATCTTGCTCACAAATGAGCCCTGGGAAAGTGTATGCAATACTACCTGAAACAGGAGTTCTCTTCTATAAAGATAACCCTTCATAATTCCATTTTTTGCCCATGAGGTTTCAGAGACAAATACATAATTAAAAGCTAATGAGCCCTTACCTTTTGAAAAATATGTCCAGGCCATCTCCCAAATACTTGGACTTGGCAGACAAAATAATTTCCAGGTCTAAAAGAGGTAGAAGGGTGTATAATAATGATATGCATTTCCTATTGAAGGACTAGTCTTTGTAAACAACCATATTCTAAAAGGTAGGAGACCATTCATCAACATTCCCGATTGATTAAATTCTGACACGACAGATATTTTTCTTTAAAAGAGGCCTTGTCAACAAAATAAAAATGCAGGTAAACGCACAGAAATATAAAGTATTAAAATTAGGGATGCACCAATAACATTTTTTTTTCAGCCTAAAGTACCAATATGTTTTTTCCTGTACTCGCCAATGCCAAATACTGATAATGGCATCCCGAGGTAGCATAGGCCCGGCATCTGGAAGCCGGACGGCAAGTCGCGATCCCTGATTAGCCAGGACTACGCCCGGGAAGCCAGTGTTTTATGAAAAGCACACTGGCTTCACGCTCCCTCGCAACACTGCGAGGCAGCCTGGCTTCTTGACCAATCAGGAAGCCGGGCGGCACATTATGACCCACCACCCGGCTTCCTGATTGGTCAGGAAGCCAGGCTGCCTCACAGGGTTGATAGGTAGGGTGAAACCTACTTCCTAGCCAATCTGGAAGCCGGGAGGCGGGTTATGACATGCCGCCCGGCTTCCTCGCAGTGTCGCCAGGCAGCGTGAAGCTGGCTTCCTAGCCAAATCCTAGACAGTGTTTACTTGGTGTTTTTCATTTACATAAATTATTTCTTCTTCACTACCAACGTACCTTTTAACTTGGTTTTGTTTTTACCCTTCCTTTCACAACCCCATTGAAGGAAGCCAATGGCAGGCTCCCCCAATAGACAAAACAAAAATCTGATGACAAAGCCTCAGGCTGCAAACACTTTCATAGCAATAGTAAATACCAAATAAATAATCAGTCATAAAAAAGATAGGGGTATATACAAAAACAAATCTTACAAAGTAAGCCTGTCCAAAATCTATTGCTGATTGGAAGCATAGTCCACGATTGAAAAAAAAAGTAAATGTTTTGCTTTTTTGGACAGAACAAAATCACAAAAAGTTCAAACAAAAACATTGTATGCCTGAAATGCCTGGTCATCAAGTAATTTGTGCTATTTTGTTTACACATCTTTAAACTATCTTTACAAAGAACCTTGCTGATCTATTACACTTACAAAGCCAGCAAACAAAGGCAATTTTCTGCTGAACTAAATTTGTTCTAAAATCACAAATCAGAGGATTATTTCCTCAAATAAAAAGTTCCCCAGGGTAGTTCTTGCCTTATTATTCAACAATGTTCTTCTTGTCACTTACACGGTCATCTTAGACTGAGAACTGGCTCTGTTCTGAGAAGTAAAATTGCTGCAAGCTACCATTTTACCCACCCAACCCATATGGTTGCCCAACATTCTGCACATAGTCTATCGTTCATCTGCATTCTTCCTGTAGGCGCATTTCTGAGTGGTTAGCTTTTTTTACTTTGAAAATACACTTTTACGTTTTATTTTGTCCTTGAAGTGGTCTTGCAACATTTTTTAAAAATACTACACGTTTGATAGGTGCAGAGAAGCCCCAAGGGCTAAGGACTGACTCCAAATATTTTCTGAAAATACCAGAAAGTTTTCAGATAATTTATATGCACTTATATGTCCAACTGAAGCTACAAGCTTGCTAGAACCTGAATTAACAATAGTTATTGCACACATAAAAACACCAGAGCAAAGCCTTGAGCCCAACTGCAGCCAAACTTTTTGTTTGAGGTAAAGTGGGGAAAGGTTAGAATCTCATGTTTTAAATTGCAGTCTGTGTTCCCATTAGGGAGATTTCTACTCATTTCCAGTATGTAACATTTCTCCAATAGGGACAGAAGCAGCAACAAAAGCATATTTTAGTACAGTGGGGGTGAAGCTCAGAAACCTGGTAAGGTTTTTTAATTTTTTTGGTGACGTTCCTTAATTTCTTTGTCCTTGTGCGACACACATGCACAGAAGCTAACCCCCTAATGGAATCACATATAGAAATAAAACTAAAAGTGACACTGAACGTTGGAGTTAAATCTTAAAAATGCAAATTTAAATAACTATAAAAACACAAATGTATCTTATTTGTGCATCACTCAGCTGTAGATCCTCAAATCATCTCTGAATTCTGTAGTAAAGTAGCCACCACTCCAAGCTCGCTCCCATGATGAACTACAATCTCAGGTTAAGTTAACTAATTTGAATTGCGAATGCAGTCCATCACAGGAGTTTGAAGTGGTGGCTACTTTACAACACACACACACACACACACACACAAACTATCCATCCTCCAGGACAGTGTCAGCACCAATTCAGAGAGGATGATCTACAGCCGAGAGATACACAAATAAGATACATTTTTGTTAACAGTTAAAAAGGTACTTGAATGCATTTTTAAGATTTAACTCCTGAGTTTAGTGTCACTTTGACACTCTAACCTATCCATACTATATTCAAAACAAAAAACTGGCTGAAGTAGGGCTAGAATAAAATCTGATACGAGTAATGTAAAAGCACATTTTCACAAGCATATTAAAAGGGAACCAATAACCAATATATAAATATGAAAGATGTCAATTTTTTTTTATGTAGCTTCTGTGGCTGTCACCATAATCCTAGCCCCACTACCTAACCTGGAAGGATAATGGAGGATGGGAGTTTAGACTTTTCCAATTTCACAGACTGCAAGATGGATTTAGGTATATAAGTAGGTAGGGAAGACAGACCAAGAGCATACCCATTTACAAACAATTCAGCAACTGTAGCTCCCTACTATTTTCATATTATTCCATATTCACTTGTATACATTCTAATGTGCATCTGGGGCACTGAGGCCCTGGTCACATTTGCATGCATTTAGGTGCAGGCAAATGGACATCTAACAGATGAAGTACAATGCAATTAGAAATCTTTCAGTCCTTTGTGGCCATTTCCCATGTGCTGCAACTTGGTGCAATTTTCATAATATACAACACACTGCATAATTGTAAGTTTAGGCATGGTAAAGCAAGCCCACTGATATGAATGGTAAATTACTAAAAACACATGCATTATGCAGTAGTGTGTGCTTTTAAAGCACCCTCGCCATGGCAAATTCCTATTATATGTTTCTTGGCCTTAACTGGTTTCTCACTCTGGTTTATTCTTTAACATTTAAGCTAGGGGCAGTCAAATTAATGTAGAGTACGCTGCTGTACGCTCACCCGAACTGCATGTCCATACTCATACAGGATGGATTCTTTCTGCGTCCAAGAAGGGACACCCGCACCCGTGCAGTTCGGGGGAGCGTAGGGCGGCGTACTCCCATAGAGAAGAACAGGCTGCTGCGTGTAATCACATTCAGCACCTGTCCTTCCCAGGAGCGGTCTGGTACGAGTCGTGCATGCAGCATGGATCTGTACAGGCCGGCTGTTAATCGTGTGAATGAGGTCTTACAGGCAACATCTGTAAATGTGTCTTGTGCCCAAGCAGATCCCTGCAAAATGTACCTTGAATGCCTCCTGAAAAATAGCAGTCCACTACCAGAGCTTAAAGCTTCAAAGCTGCGCATGTGCAAGATCATCTAAGACACTGCTGCCTTGAATGCTACGCACACAAGATTTGGAGTGAGATTTGGTAATGTCGTTACAGAGCAGCAAACAGATATCCTTGGAGAACTACAATGCAAGGACCTATCTACTTCTGCTTAAATCATTCTATGCACATGAACTTCCTTCACTGATGCCATTTTCTGATCAATACCCCACTAGCCATCAGATGGCCAGTCTGCAAAAAGGCGGCTCTGACATGAGGAAGCAAAACCCTGATGCTTAACCATGATGGCTGCCGCCACGCAGAGACACAATGCAGGACAAAGACAGGTAAATCAGTAATTAGGAAAATATTTGCACCAAGTAGCCTACAGGCAATAGTGGCGATGGCTCTTTCGCCTTCTGGTGCTCTTTCTTTGTGCACAGCTTCCCCAGGTTAGGTATTTTATAAACTCTGTTCACTGGCTCTACCGGAACAGAAACACAGTAATGAGATGGCACTGGAGAGACAGCACTATTACTTAATAGATACTCCTACTGTCTGCATCACTTTCTGAAACCTATCCTATGATAAACCTTTTATACTATCTTTTAAATTGCTACTTAAGGCAACTGGTAATGAAACAAATTTGCTTGGTCCTATGACTGAATTCAGAAATACTAACCTTTTAGACCCCGTTCACATTGAGCGATTTATCGCGCGGTAATTCCCGCGATATCACGGCAAATTACCGCGCGATATCGCACTCCAATGCAATCCAATGGGGCAAAGGGTCCTGCTGTCGCGGGTCGTGTGTCGCTACAGCAAGACCCTTTTTTGAGCGGATTTAGCCGCGATTCAAGCTTGCTCAATGCAAGCTTGAACGCGATGTCGCGCAATACGCAAATCGCGAGACAAACGTGCAATTTGCATATCGCGCTGTGGGAACGGGGCCTTAGAGTTACTGGCCGGGGTAAAGCATGTGGCCAATGAAGTCAGACCTCCTGATCTACACCATCTGATTCAGGTATGTGAATCAGAAAGATACAGGAAAGATTTGAAGTGGCCTTCTTTGGAGGAACAAACAATAACAGGGGGACTGAGTTATGCCCTCAAATGGACACTACAGTACCAGCTCACGTCTGGCAGTCTTGCGATTATTTGTATGGAAAGTTACTTTGAGGGGAAAATAAATAGAGAAAACCAATTTGCACCAAATGAGTAACACAATCTATTAGGACCAAATACTACTTATAGTGTATGCTATTACAAATATCAGCATGATTGTACAGATCTAAAATTTGACCGTATACAAGACCCATACAATGACCTTCAAAGTCGAGTGATGCCCTGATACTGTGACTAGGGAAACTAGGAACACTAGACTTTAGTAAACTGCTAGGAGCAAAACAGTTGTGAATTTTAAGAATCTATTTAAAAACCAACATGTTACGGCATGTCTACTAGGTGAGAATGATGCTTACTCTGAGCATTTACAGTGGCAGTATATTGTAGTTCTAGGTAAATTCTGTTACACAAGTTTCTTTGACATACTAATAGGAACGTATTATAAACATAATAGAACACCTTAATTAGAACAGACATCTTTTGAGGTGCGCATTAGAACAGAAAAAAAAAAAAGAAGAGGGAAGGCATCACCTTATAACATCTATACTTGTAGAGTACCACTAGGAGAATAGTCATGACAATGATTACACTGATCATTATTGCAGTGTTTAGAATGGAGTTCAGAGCCCTCTGTCCCACCGTTTCTGTATCTTCTGTAAATGGAGTGTAAATTCTAGAGGGAAAAACAAAATATATGAGAATATCACAGCAATATACCTGCACTTTGCATACAAACCTACATACAGATATTTCCAGGTTCCAATCAGATTTTAATAAAATATTACAAAATCACTGTAAATACAGACACAAAGAAACTGATTTTTGAATAATGTTTCTGCACAAACCACTCCTAAAATGTGGCCCAAACTTAACCTAAGTCACAATTGGAAAGACAACAGTGTGCATGCTCAACATGCATACACAATTTACAATGTCAGTGAACTACTTAAATGGTTTTAAACAATAAAGGCTCTATATAAAAATGTATATGAACCTTAAGGAATAGGTCATGTTGATAAGCCTCAGTGGTAGATATTCTGCGCATTAAGAACATAAGCAAGTGTGTGTGTGCGCTTGTCCTGTCCCTGTGAAGCGTGCACAAGAAATGGGGGGGGGGAAGAGTCATTTTCACTGGGACAAAAAGAACCGATGAGCAATACAAATATTCTGAGGTGGTAAGGGTAAATTTCTCCAGTACAGGGATAGATGGCAATAGTAACCTGGCAAAACCTCTAAACCTTCCCCGCTTTTTAAATTAAATATATTAGCTGAAGTTAGCCTTTAAAAGAACATGTCATTTTTAACTAAAATTGTAAAATAAACCCCCTGCTCTAGACTCCTCTGCAGAGCAACATGGAAACATCTTCACATCAAGCACACATCCAGTTTCCCTGAATCAGGAGCAACAATGACCCTATCATCAATGGGGCCAGCAAAAACTTTTCCTATTGCACACAACTTTACCCCATGTGATTTATTACTTCTCAGTGACAAGAAAAGAAAATCAATAGCTTACCTCCCGAGTATGAATAGTGCAAGTTTATTCAGATAACAGAATTGCATCTTAGAGAACTATGGGGTCAGTGTTTTTCCCCATAGTTCTCCTTTAAGTAACTTTTGGCAAAGATAATGTAATATGACTTAGACACCTGGGAGAGGGGCCCTTGATGCTTAAGATTGGAGACTGAAAAACCAACAACCAGAGCAGCAGAAGTAACACGCATGCAAAGTGATTTTCAATAAAATAGTGATCAACGCCTTGAAAAAACGGACAGTGATTTCTAAACAGTAAATGTACTGATCAAGATGCATACAACTCACATGCTAAATATATGGATCCAGCATGTTATCCAACTTTCAGTGTTCATTACACATGTAAACTGCAACATATATGCCACCTATTGACAAATGTTGGTGTTGCATGTAACATGGGGGAAGGTGACAGCTGACATGTATTGTGTAACTGAATTAAAATAAGAAACAGCAGGAAGCCCTTTCACCTGTAAAGACACACTTTGAAGTGTATGTAAACCGTAACAAACTTGCCTTGTTTGGTCCCTTTTTTTCTGTTAAATATGCTAAAGTGTTGAGTGATATATCTGTTTGATAAGAGCGTGTAGAACATACAGAATGCACAGAGAGACAGAGGACTCATGACAAAAAGCCTAAGAAACCCTCACTGCCCTAGTAGAGTGGACTTTAATCACAATTCATATGTAATGGGAACCTTGAATGGATGAATGAAGTGGTTATACCACTCTCTCCAAGGTCAATCTGGAGATATTAGAATGAATGGAATGCTATTGGTCTTGATAGATCACCGATCCTGCTGGGGTCAAAGGGCAGCTCCTGTATCTACCATCGGGTACCGTGTCCTGGAAAGAAACCTGTCCAGTCTCTTGTTGAACAGAGATGCTAAAAAGGCCAGGCCCGATGTTCCCCAACACAGACAAATGCCTTGGAACACATCCAGATGGAAGGACCATTTTCTCCACACCAGACGTTGCCTGCTAAAAAAATAATCTACAACCGTCACCACCGCAACACTGCTGGTTCCCCCTAATGATTGACAAGCCAAAGCAGTGGCACTGCTTGAACATGGACCATACTGTATGACTGGTCATGAGCAGGTCCAGTGAAGGAACAACCGAATAACTGCTCGTAATTCTAGAGTGTTCATTAAAAGCTATTCTTCCTAAGACCAACAACCTAGCAGCAGCCCTAGCCACAACAGCTGATAAGCCCACCCCACCCCCCCAAAAAAAAAAAGAATGGGGGAAGGGATAATCAGAATTGACCAGTGGCATAGGGGGATCTAACAGGGATCTGTGAGAAGATCAGAAAGCACAATTCTTCCCTCTGCCATATACATTTTGAAAAGGGTATTGCCAGTGTAGTGTTGCCAGTGTAATGTAAGCAAACTATACATAAAACTGTACTTACAACTGTCCATCTTTTCGAGTGTAAAAGCTGACAGACTTAATTGTTGCCACAACCACAACCATGCAGAGGGTAACTGGTACAAACAGCATGATGACATGCTTGGCACCATATTTTAAGGTAAGCTCCTCATCTTCATCATCATCCTGTTCCAGCACTTGTTGTGAGCTGCTTTGCGTCTGTCCATTGCTCTGAGATTCAGTGCGTTCATGATTTCTCCTTTCCTGGTTATCATTCTAAAAGACAGATGAAAGCAAAACCAAAATGTTCAAGATAGGAATAAAAAAGACACATATCAAAATATTTAAAATAGGATTTAAAATAGGATTATGCACACAGTTTTATTCTGGTCAAAATAGTAAAGAACTACATAGGACTTTATTTGCAGCAACTTTTCCTTTTAAGAACAATATGGGAAAAGAAT